TATTGATGGATATTAAGCAAATGTGTTCACTGCTGTGGCAAAGGTTATATTTCTATTCACATGGAGGTCTGCTTCAATAAAATGCTTTCGCATTTTGTGCTGTCCTCAAGCGTATTTGCTGTCGTTGCTCGAATTCTGAACGAGAAGGGTACTGAAAATATTTCCATTGATTTTTTTGTTGCTTTATCAAATTAAGCTAGGTTATGATTTCTGAGTTCATCTGAGGGTTTACTAAAGTCTGTGATCATTACCACCTGGTCGTTGTGACCGGAGCAACAATCACATGCCTAAGATACGGCGCACATAGCGTTTGTGCAAGTTGTCTGGACAATCTTTATGACGATTCAAGATAGCAGACTTTTGACCGCGGCAGTAAGCATTGTGAATATAGTCGTTTTCTTGATGATTAACTTCATATGCGTTTCATGGTCTGATTTTTTATATGTCATGCAGATTAGCGAAATTCATTTGTGTCTCTCTAATACACCGGAATCAATGTTGTCATCAGTATTGAACACAATTTCGACGTAATTTAAATGGTTCAGTTCGTCCATCATTATAACATTCCCATTGTTTTTTTCCGGCTGACTGTCACAAGGGGAACTTTCATAATCTTCGTCTTAATAACGTTGACTTGTAGCCACACTGCTACCCGTTTGGTCTGCGTATATAGGCCATTTGCGGCATCGTGCAACAGCAAGATGTCATCGGTGTGTTCTTGGGCCGTTTGGAATGCCGCCGGATATCTCGAGCTGCGTTGCTGACTGACGATAGTCGTTCGTTGCATTTTGGAGCTAAGCTGTTCCTCACAACACAGACCGTCAAGATGCTAACTGAAAGAGGGCATAACTGGCTCTGAGGAACTGTACACTTTTATCCACCATTAGATATAACGATTTTGGATTCTAATTTGATGAATGGCGGATAACCACCACTCTGCGGTACCATAATTTCTTTCCAAACTTTCAAGACCAGTGAGTGACATAATCCATAATTCAGTAGTTGCACACACTGTTTTTGATGCCAGTTTGATCTCACTGAAACAACATGAGCAAGTTGCGCAAAAGGCAGCATATGGAAGAGAGGAGTATACGTGAAATAAGGAAATGATAAGGCTGTGATAATGTAATTTCGTTAACGTTAATTATTTATTGATTTCGTTTAACTGGTCAGTATTGCGTCTGGTAACTGAGGGCTGCTGTCAAACGTTTATTCCCATCATTTGGGCGAATTACTAAACTTCCGGTTAATTACTGTCACCATCATGTCTTTGTTCAATTTCGAGTCATCCGCTGTCGTTGGAACGTGTCAGCTTTGATCAAGTGCCAGACGGGTGTCAGGTTCAATTCTTCAAATGCTAGACCACTTAATTGCCTTTTTCTAGACGTCATTTCTAACAATATTTGCCTAAGCATGCTTAAAACGTGAAGTCACATTTTTTGCCCTTCACAGCTGGCCACCGTAGAGCAGAGTTGCCACTAATTTATGGAAAATTTGTAATTACAGATCTCGAGGATGAAGTGACAGTGCTGTACAGTTAAACGAAGTATTGTACAAAAGATGGATTCACCTTGAGAATGTCGATTTTTGCAGTGGGTCAGTTTTAGTAACGAAAGTGAACAGAAATTGTAATAAATATAAGTAATTCATGAAGACAAAAAAAGAAAATGAAAGCTACACCGAAAAGTGGATGGTTTAACGTAGAGACAGGCAAAGTTTATAAAAAGAACAACAAATGCAATGAGGAAGAGGGGCACGATGACAGAAAACAGAAATAAACGAAGGACAGGAAAGTAAAGCAAAAGAACACGTAGAGAAAAATACAGGCATCAAATGCAAGAAAGGCGCGAAAGTAGAGATAAACTAAGGATGAACCACAGGAGAACATTGAAGATAGGATGAGGATACGGTAGAAGATGAGTGAATAAGAATGGAATGAGGTACTGAAGTTTACCGAACCATTGAAGATGCTGTGAGTGAATGTTTTCTCCTCACTCCAGACTCAGGCTACGTTTGACCGAATCTGAAACGGTGGCCCAGTGTCACGAAAGTTGCAGACGCTATGCGACGTTGCTGCCTCTGTGATCCGAAGGGACGAGCGATCATTAAAACGGACTTACTGAGATAAGGCAAAAGAGGCGGAAAATGAATGAAAAAACAAAGAGTTTTAGAAAAGCAGAGGGAAAAGGTAGAGAACTAAACTAGAGGTAAGTGAGGAATGAAAATAGGTAAGAGCAAAAAAGGGAACGATTGAAAGCAAGGGAATATGAAGAGAATAAATGCATTTTATGAAGAGAGAAGAAACGTAACAAGGAGCCTGAGGCGATGAAGGAACGCAAGGACGGAGGCATGAGGAAATCGATCAGTAGGTGATGGAACAGGTCATGAAATGTAATAACTTCTTGTCTAAGTTGTTTTCCGACAGACAACTTTCTACATGCCACATAGATAATGTGTGGACAGAGTGACGAGGTCGAAATCGCACTATTTTACGTTTGAACTTTAGCTCAATAAATCCCCGTCTGTACATAAATAAACCAATAACAGTACGTACGAAAAATCATGGAGGTCACATATCATATGGATCGCATAACTGTAAATGAAATCACGAAAGGAACCATAAAACTTTTGCTTAATCAGATATGATTCTATACCAAGGCAATAGGCTTCATGGAAGGA